GGGTTTTTCTTTTAAAGAATCTAAAGAAAAACGAGAGTCTATTCACCCCCCCCCCCCCTCTAGACTCACCACTCAATCTATCGGGACCAACAATCTTCATTATTTAAATCCATGTACTAGTTAGATTGAACTGGAAGTTCAAAAGATAATCTATTTGCGATTTTAGCAAATAATTTGCCAAATACATCTATTGATCATAATGATCATAAAAGAAGTGACTAGGTCCTATATCCTTGGACCCCAAACATATCTATCGATACTCCTTGACACTAGAAGTGTAGGAGATCTATCGGTGAAAGAGATATGGATCATAATACTAGATCTAGTAAAGAAATATTGTCACTCTTGAAATAGCTTGAATAATTATGTCCTGCAGACGTTCGTCCAGATGACGAAAAACCCTGATAAGACTTATAAGTGCACCAAACAAACGTAATACTAGGGATGCGGAACGACCAGAACAAAATATCTTTGGGAAATGTCTAGAATCTGGTTGTTTTAGAAATTGCCATTACTTTTACAAATATGGGAATTTTACAAAAAGGTTATAGTTGTCGACAACACAATTGCCATTACAAATTGCTCGTTATATGATAATCTGGATCCAGAGTTAGGCACCAGAAGTGCCATGACTATTTAATAAAGGAGCAATTAAGGCATAGCTCGATCGCTAAAATGAATAAATTCTCTTTATAACAATACACCATTAAGCGTTAACCCTGAAGGTTACAAATGGGTGTGTGCATGAAAGAGAAGTAAGAATAACAAGGTGATAAGATATGAAGCGAGTCTGTAGCCTATGGGTTCACGCAGAGACCCTTAATTGATTTTAATCAAATATACTCTCCCACGGTAAATGGCATTAAGTTCCGCCACATAATACAATTGGCAGAATAATAAATTTAGATATGCAGCCAAATTTATTTTGAGAAATCCTGGATGGATTCATAATTCTCGAAATGAGGATTTATTTAAGTATTATTATGTGTCATTATTTACTCTTTAAAGGGTTGCGAATGGAGTTAATATCCTCATTGAAGAAATAATATGCACCATTGTGTGCTCGATAAAGGGTTGATAATGAACGTATTTATTATTTATTATATCAGTCAAGATTGATGGTGTAAACATCAATGAAATATATAAAGAGCTTGATAATGTCAGTTCATGTTTAAAGACTGAGACTTTTGAAATAAAAAGCTTGTGAAAGCTATAAGTATTATCTCGACTTAAAGATCGAGTTTTTCTTTGAAGATTTTTTTTATACACCAGCCAGCCTATATCTAAAAATGCTTTTTCACATGTCTATATGCGTATAAGTGTCATGTTTTTATCAAACTAAAGGTTGCCTAATAATCTTTTGAAGCAGATAAGGAACCATTTGGACTCGAAGTCCCTTACTTCATTATCGTTGGAGCACCATTTTTAGAACCAGAAGTTCCATAATCGCAACATATTTGCGATGTTGCTAGCAAAATTTAATGCTCCCCCTTCAAATGAAGTACTTGAATAATGATTAACATATCCTCCGGTATCTTCGAGATACAAAGACATGACATTTATGTAAGAAACCATGATACGGTTTTAATAAGCTACTTGGATACTAACTGTTTTGTTTGATCTCCGCAATGCCAAGTCCAAACTGGTTATACAATGAATTTCCCTAAATGTTCAAAATGAGGACAATAACACTTGTGTTGCACAAATGTTTTATGAGCTCTAGAAGAGTCATAAGATTATTGTACACTACCCTAGTGATAATCTAGAAGATTTGTCCAATCCATCTCTTCAAATTTTGAAATATATGTAGAACTTGAAGATTGTTATCTTCAGGGGGAGACGGGAAGTACATTTACTCGAATCAATCCGGAAGATTGAACGTAAAATCCTAAAGATTAAGTCATAAAAGACTAACAGTTGCGCAGTATTAGCAACACAACGGGAAGTACATTTACTTAAATCAATCCTGAAGAATAAGTCATAAAAGACTAACAGTTGCGAACTATTTGCAACACATAAATACATAAATATCATGTACTCTTTTTCTCACTAGTTTTCTCCCATTGGGTTTTCTAGTGTGGTTTTTAACGAGACATGAGTATGATATAGTAATGACAAGGGGGAAAAGTTGCAAAATAATTGTTTAAATGGACAAACCCCAAAAGCCTAAAGATTATGCAGTTTGCGCCCTGAAGGCTTATGGTTGTACTCTTTTTCCCTTAACTAAGTTTTTCCCACAGGGTTTTCTTAAGTTAAGGTTTTTAATGAGGCGACCAATAGACTATATGTTTTTACATATATCATGTACTATTTTCTTCAACTAGGTTTTACCCACGTGGTTTTCCTAGTGAAGTTTTTAATGAGGCATGGATATATTTTCTATTATACTATTTTCTTGTCTAGGTTTTTCCCACAGGGTTTTCCTAGCAAGTTTGTATGAAAGCAAGATTGTAGACGAATAATGTTCAAGGGGTAGTGTTATAAATATTATTGTTTTATGGCCATTATCTCCCACAAACCCATGATCTTCACCGTTTATGATATTATTATATTGTAACTGTTATCCTTGTGATGTATATATGTTTGATTCAATGCTTAATGAGAATGCGGGTTATTTTGGAGTTGATTCATTCTTGATCTTTCTGCTCTTTCCCTTTCATGATACCACCAAATTAAACTATAACAAGGAAGACTAATTCCATTGTTTTGATGGTGAAAAAGAAATTAATTGGAATATTAATTTCATAATTGGTTGGATTTGAAAATGTAAGAAGTAATGAGTATAAAGACTTATATTCCCCTACACAACAACAACAACAACCACAACAACAACAACAACAACAATATAATAACAACAATAAGAGTGAATTATATTACACGGGCAAAATAATCATGTCAACTCACTTTTTGTTCTCAAATTCCATAGAAAACAAAATATCATCCCCTCACATTGAAAAAATGTTTCCTCATAACTATAAAAAGTTTTCAGTGAAACAAACAAAAGAAAATCTTATTACAAATTTAAGAAAAAGAAAATTTCTTTGAAAAATGTTTTCCATACCATCAAACACTTTTACTAGAAACAACATCGCCAAGCCCAATAAAAATTTTAGAAATAAGGAATAACTAGGAGGGCAAATTATGCCCTGGACCCGTGTCCACAATGAATTGTGGACACGGGCCCAAAACGACGTCGTTTTTCAAAAAAAACGCGTCCTTTAGTTAAAAAGAAAAAAAAAAATTCGCGCGCGTTTTGCTGTTAACGGCGTTATTTTTTTTTAATTATGAATGTACAGTTATGCCGTTATGAATGTACAGTTATGCCGTTATGAATGTACAATTATGCAATTATGAAATTATGAACACAGAGCTCTAACATTATGAACTTACAATTATGAACATATATAGTGATAAAATTATGACCATGGAGCTTTAAATTGTGAATATAGAGCTTCGAAGATTATGAATGTACAGTTATGGAGTTATGAATGTACAGTTATAGAGTTATGAATCTACAGTTATGAGATTATGAATCTACAGTTATGGAATTATGAATGTACAGTTATTGATCGAATTATGAACTAAGAGCTCTAACATTATGAACTTACAATTATGAACATATAGTGATAAAATTATGAACATAGAGCTCTAAAATTGTGAACATAGAGCTTCGAAAATTATGAATGTACAATTATGGAGTTATGAATGTACAGTTATGAAGTTATGAACGTACAGTTATGGAGTTATGAATGTATAGTTATAGAGTTATGAACGTACAGTTATGGAGTTATGAATGTACAGTTATTAATATATAGTAATAAAATTATAAACATATACTCCTATAACGAAGCGGTCTGAAATTTAAAAAAAAAAAAAAAAAAAAAAAAAAAAAAAGGAAATAACAGTGCCTAACGGCACTGTTACCCGTGTCCAGCAAGCATGCTGGAACGGGTCCAACGCATAACGATTGACTACGAGAGCTTTTAATTTTGCTCATCATTTGAATGCACCATATATACATACATACATACATACATACATACATACATACATATATACATACATACATACATACATATATATATATATATATATATATATATATATATATATATAGATTTAAGATCATATGAGAACATCTGCTTAGGTGAGGACATGAGAACAAATCGTGTGCATCCATCTAATATTTTTTAATGGTCTATATTAGATTAAGTGTGTGCGAACGCGCATTAAATGTGTGCAAACGTGATTAAGTGTGTTTGCACACATTTAATGCGCGTTCGCACACACTTAATCTAATCTATACTATTAAAAAATATTAGATGGATGCACATGATGTGTTCTCATGTTCTCATCTGAGTACATGTTCTCACTGGAACCCTACCCTATATATATATATATATATATATATATATATATATATATATATATATATATATATATATATATATATATATACTTGTTCAAATGCGGACAGTGCTTTCCTTGCGGATTCACCATTAGACCGGTATGAAAAATGTACCACAGACACATAATATTAAAAAATGCACCACACATAATGGTGCATTTTTAACACTTTGTAGGGCATTTATGCATACCTAATGGTGAATAACTACACGACCGCACGGGAAATATTGTCTAGGAACCTGAACATATATATATATATATATAATGTTTCTTTTCGAGTTAAGTATCATCTTTAGTTTCAAAGTGCTTTGTTTAGTGAAGGAAAATTGCATTTTCCCTTTTTTAAATTACTGGTGTCAACAGAAGTTCACCGAATAAAACTCACGACAAAAAGTATCAAATTCCCTCACAACCTTTTTCCATTTCTACACATTAATTTATTACATTCATCCACACAAATGTTAGCACCCACTCTTACAACCCCAACAACTCGATTCCCATTTCCCAAATAAATAACAGCCAATTAATTACCAAAAAGATACAAATAGTAATATTCCAGAGAACAAATTTACATGCCATATATATATACATATATACAACGGTTGTTTCAGTGAAGAAACGGTTTGGTTTGTGCTTTATTTTCTCGCCGGATTCCAAGACTTCAGGTAGAAAGAGGGCTCGCCGGAGGGCGATGGAGGTCGATGATGCTTCCTAGTCTCCGGACGACAAGTGTGACCGTTTTGAGATCTTCTTTAGGTATCAAATACTCCTTATTTATTTACTCATAATTTTTAAGTTTTCTATCTAGATCCGGCGACACTAGTGACGATCGTATTCCACTATATATCATATTATAAATATAATCATTTATAATGTACATGATAGAGTTGTCAAAACTGGCTAAGCTCATTGGATGCTTTGGTCCCGGCATATTATTGTGTGGACCATGGTCCACACAATGTTATATGGTCCATAATAAAAAGTATATTCTTAATATACTATATATACATTATTTTTGTATTGAATGTACATTATACAATATAATGTACACTCAGAACAAAAATAATGTACATCCCCTGAATATAATGTAGATTATTTTTGTATTGAATGTATATTATTTTATACTGAATGTACATTATTTTACAGTATACAAAATATAGTCCACACAACTTGTGTGGACCATGGTCCACAATTATTGTTTTGTCCCACCCCACAATGAAAGTTGTGTGGGTTTCCATTTTTTAGGCATGTGAAAGGGCAAATTATATCGTGCCCACAATATTGTGCACCCTGGTTCAAAACACGTCGTTTCCTGTTTCATGTTTCTGCCGTTAACTTTTTTTAAAAAAAAAAATTGCAGTTTCGAATATACAGAATTGTATAGTAGAATACACATAAACACTTAACATAATACACATAAACACAAGTCTAAGAAATATCATTTCTATCTACTAAGGTATGGAATTTAAATTCATAATGTACAGAATTATATAATATAATACACATAAACTCCTAACATAATACACATAAGTCTAAGTAATATCATTTCTATCTAGTGAGGTATGAAATTGAAATTCGTAATGTACAGAATTATATAATATAATATATACACATAAACTCTTAACATAATACACAAACTCTTAGCATAGTGCACATAAACTCTTAACATAATACACATCATCTCTTAACATAACACACAAAAACTCTTAACTAAATACACAAAAACTCTTAACAGAATACACATAACCACATGCGTAAAAATTAAAAAAAGAAAAAAATTGTAACAGAATTATTAAGTAAAACGACGTTGTTTTGACCAGGGCGCACAATTTATTGTACACCCTGGTGCACGATATAACGATTACATGTGAAAGTGGCGGGCTTTGATGGGCCTTGCTCCTCATACTCTTTTTTATTTTATTTTTATTTTTCCATTAAATCACGAGGTGTCCTTCCTGATTTTTTTTATGGCTCTAATATATATTGTTATAAAAATATTATCCCAGAATTGTTTGGCAAAAAGGGTTAAAATCCTAATCCTAGATAAAGATCGAGAAGCTTAGAGATCACGCAAAATCCTAATCTGAATGGGATTACCCAAACTCATAAGGATTAGGGAAGAGGTTAACAAACAACTATATAAAGACCTCTAAGCCAAAGATGAAGATTGCGCTTTCAATTCTCTATATTCTGCCCGAGTGTATGAAAGGTATTTTGAGAGGAGAATCTTTCACTTAGGAGTAGTACTAGAGTTAGATTTCAATAGAAAGATAATGAGATCTAGGATTCTATTGTGTAAAAATGTTCCTAATATGAGAAGTGCCTCGCAAATTAGAAAATTTTATCCGAATTACGTTAAATTTCTCTGTGTTACAACTTACGTTCTAACATCATTGTGTGTGTTGGTCATTAAAAGTCTACATATATGATAATATCGTGTACAATTGACACTATAATTTTTAAATTTATTATTATTATTATTATTATTATTATTATTATTATTATTTATTTTTATCTCTAATTTTGTTTTTATTTTTAAACAAAATATTTTTCCAGTTTACAACCAGTAAAACATATATGACACGTGGCATTATTTTTGAGAAAGTTTACCACTTAATGATCTCGTTGGAGGCTTGGCAGGTTTCATCATATGAAATTAATGTGAATACTACTATACTAGTACTAGTATTAACACATAAAAGATAGAAGAATAAAACAAAATATATAATATAAAATGAAGTTATTTTGAATCGCGGTCCACCAAGCAAGATAGTGGACTCTAGTCCACAATATAATTTGGCGTGGTTTCTTAATCCATTATAAACAAACTATGTATACTTCACGTTAAACCTATCATCAAATGCGATAAGTTTTCGTGTTTTACTACAAAAGCAATTATTAAAATCTTTGAAGTAAACGTTATGTTTAGTGTCCTTAAATCGTTTTTTAATGCACTAATTTTTAGGCAATTATTGTTTCCTAATTCTAATATAATTACCACTCTCGATTGATTTGCAGGAGATTAACAATAATCTTTCTTAAAATTCTTGAAATACTACTCAAGAAAAGACATGAATACTTCAACTTCTATCAACTCCGCAACTTCCCTTCCACAAGACATTCTTTACGAAATTTTCACTAGACTTTCCGTTAAGTCTATAGTACGATTCAGGTGCGTTTCTAAATTTTGTTATTCTCTTGTAAATAACTCGTTTTTCGCTGATGTGCATCGGAACCGATCCTTAACATGTCCCGGGACAAGCATCCTATTACGTCTTCCATCAAAAACATGTCAACAAGTCTTTTACATTGTAAATCTGACGGAAGAAAACCATGGAAAGCTCCAAGCCCACCGTGTCCGGTATATGGACCAACAATGTTTTCATAACCGGGTTCATTTAAGGTAAGATTTTCCCATATAATATATATATATATATATATATATATATATATATATATATATATATTATATAGAAAAAAATTATAAATTTTGCCACTGATCTATCGAGTAATTGCTATTTTAATCCTTAGTTCTTGTCTATGCTCGTATTTCATCCTTAAACTTTTATCATGACCTAGTTATTCTTTTCATCCCTAATTTTTAGATAATTATTAATTTTCATCCTTAATACTTGGGTAATTGTTAGACATTTTGCTCAATAATTAGCTAGGGATGAAAAAAAATAATAATTACCAGAAGAATCAGGGACAAAAAGAGCAATATTATAGATTAAAAAACAATTACCTAAAAATTATCAAACTAGAGCTTATTTCAGGTGTACTAAAGGCTTGATTTGTCTGGCCAACGACGACGGAGACGCCGCGGTTTGCAACCCTATTATAAGACAACATGTTTCTCTGCCAAGAACCCGTCCTGTCCGCCCATCCACCTCGCAAAACTTCGCCAGCGCGGTCTTGGGTTTCGATTCGGTTTCTGAAAGGTACAAGGTTTTCATGTCGGAACTGCGTTGCATCCATGGCCGTGGCGATAAGAAGCACTGGGTTTTGACTCTTGGAGAGGATGAATCATGGAGGGAGATCATCGTCCCTAACTATCCAGAAACCAGTCTTCACATTGACGGCGTTATCTACTTGATAAACTGGACCGTTAAAAGGGAAATAATTGCGTTTAACGTCGGAGCTGAGGAGTTTCGCACGTTACCTTTTCCGCGTGAACTCCGACATCGTACCTCCTCGGTTTTGAGGTCTCCGTGGATTGAGGTGGCCGGTCGGCTAGCCGCCGTTACTGTTGATCATCAGTGGAGCAGAGTGGAGGTATGGGCTTTGGAGAAATCAATGGAATGGGAGAAATATATGATCCCCATTCCATTGGAAGATAGGGAAACGATCAGAAAAGCTTGTTCCATGGACTTCACAGGGAAGTGTAATGGGGAGATTGTGATGCTGATTCACGTGGGTGAGACTTTCTTGATTTTCGTTACTGCGTTTGGAACGCCGCAGGTGTGGAGAAAGTTTGAGATATGTGGAATTCATGATCGTTTCATTTGTTTGGATAGAGTACAAAATGCCATACATATCATTGAGGAGAACGTATTTTTTCCTTCTTCCAAAACATTGAATTTCCAATCTAACATCTTGACCAGACGGATCATTTAGGAGGATGTGAATTGATTCAATGACACAGCAGACAGGTCAAATGCAGGTGCGCATAATCTCCACATTGCTGCTACCAAAGTTCGAACATTGGTCTCTTACCTAAATACTATCTACTGGATGTTTTTTTAATACTACCTATTGGATGTTTTTTTTTTCTTCTTGCAGAATAGATCAAATCTATTCCATTGCTGTTTAATTGGTTCAGTTTTTAAAGCGAAGAATATAATTTTTTTATTATGTTTTGTATTTTGTTATTGTATGGTGGGTGAGTATGCGTTGTGTACATATATATATACTAGTTTTTTACGTGCAGATTGAGATAATGCTCAATATTTTTTTTTTTAAATAAGTACTTTAAAGTATATCAAGGAAAGATGAAATTAGAATTGTTTATGTATAGATAATTCATAATTGAATGTTGAATTTGCGTATTTAAATAGATAATTATAAGTTTACAAATGCAAGATAATATAGTCAAGATTGATTATAATTGTCAATAAAATAATGGTATAAGTATGGTTGAAACGAAATATGGGACATAAGGGAGAACAAATAAAAATTAGGGCATAAAATATTTAATATATACTAATATTGAAGAGCTAACTGCTGATTACCAAACAAGGACATTGCGAGGTAGTTTCCCACTTCAATTTGTTGTGTGATTTGAATACTCTTTTTTGTCAATAAATCCCCCAAAGTAGTTAATATGATTGGCTTAATTATATATATATTTTATTTTTTTAAACAATTATTATTATTATTATTATTATTATTATTATTATTATTATTATTATTATTATTATATGTATACCCTTAGGTCATTTTACATGTTAATCTAAACAAGCTAATTTTTTCAAATATCTTTTTACCCACCGTTGATATATTTCGCTGGTCAAATTCGCTAATATAATCCGCTAATGCTAACTGCTGATTGTCAAACAAGGACATTGCGAGGTAGTTATCACTTTTAATTAATATGATTGGCTTTATTAATTATATTTTTTTTTAATTTTTTCATGGTATTAATAAAATACTTGATAAATAAATATATAGCATTATTTTGTATTATAATTTTGATATTTAATTAAAAAAAATAATAGACAATGTTGTGAATATAATCATGAATTTAAATGTAAAGAATTTTTACATTGGAGAAATATAAAGACAATATAACTAATAAAATTATTTCTCTTAATTAATTTATTGATAATGATTTTTTTTTTTTAATAAAGACATTGTAGGGACAATGTAGCAAATATAATCAATTGATGAATTTGAATGTAAAGAATTTTTATATTGGAAAAAAATAAATACAATATAACTAATAAAATTATTCTCTTATTTAATTTATTAATAATGAATAATTTTTTTTGAATAAAGACATTATAGACATATAATTCTAAATTAAAGAAATGCATATGTATTTTTTTTTTCTTGTAGCTACTAAATTAGTATGTAATAATATAATTTAATAAGAGTAAAATATAGTACTAATTATGTCATTAGGATGAGGTTCGAATCTAAGACCTTTCTTATTGAAATCAATAAGTAAGTTAACGGTGAACTAACATAAATTAACAGAAAAGATAATATTTAACGGAAAAGTTAACAGAAAATCATATTATTAAGGATAAATTAAGAAATCTTAAGGAAAAATTAAAATTTGATCAATCTGAGCCATTCATTTGATTAAAAAATTTGACCGCCATTTTTTCTACCCATTATAGGCCTAACTCTCTTGGGCTCTTATTAGTATAGTAGATATATATATATATATATATATATATATATATATATATATATATATATATATATATATATACTAATCTTTTCTATGTGCAATGCGCAAAAACATATGCTCAATATTTATATTTTTAAAAGTAACTAACAAATTTTTGCTAATTAAAATCTAAGTAAAATAAAATTTATTTATTATATTAATTCAATATATAATGTTTTACAAATATTGTTATCATTAAAGAATATAAAAAAAGATGTGATAGATGCATGTGCATGGTAAAAGGCTAATGGAAAAAATAACGGAAGTTATAACTGTAAAAGTATTTTTGCCCAAAAAATTGTATAGTACAACTTTAAAAGCACAATGTAATAAATAGTTAGCATTAAAAACATGGACAAAAATGAGGGATATAACTTTGATTGAGACTTATTATGTTTTTAGATTATATATATATATATATATATATATATATATATATATATATATATATATATATATATTGTTAGGAACACTTGTATTAGGATTTTGATGTTACCAATGTAACTTAGAATGTAGACCCCTAACTTTCGTTATTTCCATCGCTCTTTTCGTTCTAGACGAAAGATGTCATAACTCATCTTGTAATTCGTGTTAAGTTAGACAAACACACGAAAAACGAGTTATGTTCTTTAGTTAGGTCTGCCAAAGCGAAAAGAGACAAAGAGCACGAGATCAAAGGCTTCAACAACGGAAGATCACCTCAAGTTATCAACCATCTCGACAAGACAGTAACCTTTATGAAGATTTATCAAGACACTCATTCTCTCCCATAACGAGAAGAATGTCTCAACTGTCTGTGTTGATTAACCATCATGGGACAAAAGGACCTTAAAGTGTGAAACACATATACCTAGTAGCATTAAATGAAGCTGTACTATTCTTCAGAAGCTAAAAGACAAAAACCCTAAGGTTGTTCATGTCTACAACGGCTACATGGTACAAACCGCATTAATGGAGCATTTATTGCGCCAAGCTCCCTGGTCTTTACCCACTGGATAATAGGTTTGAAATTTCATCTCCCTCCAACGGATGAAATTTTCCATACCTATAAATACCCACATTCATCAACTGAGAAGGTGCTGGTTCTTTTCACTCGATCATTACTCTTAAAGCAAAAGTTCTTGTATAAGCTCACTTTCTTACCAAGCTTTTGTGAACCAGTTTCAAGGCGTGAAGATTTCTTAGAGAAATTCATCAATCCTCATCTTCCACCTTGAAGAAGTCTTGCATCTTGTACAAAGCAATCATCCCTCATTCAGTCAAGACTTCACCGTGTTGGAGAAATCAGAAAATACTTTCTACCAACCTCAACTCTGAAGAATACGTTGATAGAGGCGGAGTAAACTCGCGGAGTTGAAAAACCTACAGGAAGCTGTCCGGCTTAGTGATCAAGGAAGCTTTCGTGTATTTGTACTAACGAGTGATAGTGCAAACCTTCAATAAGTTGTGGAAGAAGAGTGGAGTAGGCAAAGTTGGCCGAACCACTATAAAAACTTTCGTCCCCTATCTTTTTAGTTTCGTGCTTTACATTTCAGCATTGCATTATCATTTGTCTAAACCGAAAGTTATCTTATAATTTCAAACTATGCAAAGCAACTAAAATCAAGTTAATTTATCCGCTGCGTTACAACCCCGAGAGGTTGCTATTCTGCAAAAAAAAAATCGAGAAGAGTCTATTCACCCCCCCCCCCCTCTAGACTCTCGTTATAACCCTACCAGGATCAATATATATATATATATATATATATATATATATATATATATATATATATATATATATTTATATATTTATTTATTTATTTATTTATTTATTTATTTATTTATTTATATGTTTTATTTTGAATAGTTGTACTTTTTTTTTGAAAGGAGTTGTACTTTGGTTATTTAAATGATATTTCTTTTATATTTTCTTGTACCTACTCCAACCATATACAATAATATGAATCCTCTTATAATCTAATGTTAGAATGAATATACAATCAAACCATGTAATGATCTAACCTCATAGCGGAAGCATAGGAATCGAGCAAAACTCCATCCATAGTTAACACCTTTGTGTATTGCGTTGTGAATAATCATAGTAGAAATTTCTGCAGAGTAACGATGTCTCTCACTTGGTCTCCGGACAATATAGATGGTGTATTTCAGGTGTTCCGGAGCAGTGGCAGGACCTAAACTTATATAGCCTTATATGCCATCAATATAGGCTTTGTAACGGTAAGCGTTACATCCGTTTCAAACCACAATATAATGGTCATAAATGACCTATTAAATTTGCACCACTTAATGGTGACATAATGGAAAATGTTACATTCTCCCACTTGGTGCAAGTATTAACTCAAAGAAGCAAAAAACATGAACCATAGAGATAGTTCCTCTTAATTTAGAGTAGTATCCACTTATGATTATAATATAACTTCTTCTCTAAGTACTTTATGTGGTATAAAACTTACAGCACGTTTGGTTCACGGAATGAATTTTGAGGGGGGGGGGGGGGTGAATAGACTCTGTTCAGATTTTTGCAAGTAACAACCTTTCGGCGTTACAGCGCAGCGGAAATATTGAGTTCGTTTTAAACACTTTGCACAGTTTGAAGTTTTTATGAAGCTTTCGGTTTGGATGCGTATGATGTTATGATGTAGAAAATAAATTGCGAAAGATAAAGAGATAGGGAGACGAGAGTTTTATAGTGGTTCGACCAACTTTGCTTACTTCTACTCTTCTTCCACAACTTATGGAAGGTTTGCACTATCACTCGTTAGTACAAATACACAAGAAGCTTCCTTGATCACTAAGCCGGACAGCTTCCTGCAGGTTTTTCAACTCCACGAATTTACTCCGCCTCTATCAACGTCTTCTTCAGAGTTGAGGTTGGTAGAAAATGAATTCTGATTTCTCCAACGTGGTGAAGTCTTGATTGAATGGAGGATGATCACTTCTTCTAAGATCCAAGACTTCTTCAAGGTGGAAGATAGGAAATAATGAGCTTCTTCAAATATCTTCACGCCTTGACACTGGTTCACAAAAAGCTTGATGGGAATGTTAAGATTGCTTAAAAGCTTTTTGCTTGAGAATATTGTCGAGTGAAAAAGAACCAACACCTTCTAGGTTGATGAAGGTGGGTTTAAATAGGTGAGGAAAATTTCATCCGTTGGAGGGAGATGAAATTTTGAACCTATTATCCAGTGGGTAAGGACTGGGGAGCTTGTTGCATTAAATGCTCCATTAATGTGGTTTGTACCATGTAACCGTTGAGGGCATGGATAGCCTTAGGGTTTTGTCTTTTAGCTTCAAGGATGGCGCGCACAGCTTCATTTAATGCTCCTTGGTATGCGTGTCCCACATGTTGATGTCCTTTTGTTCCTAGGATGGTTAGTCAACTCAGACAGTAGTGACATTCTTCATGTTGTTGAAGAGAATGAATGTCCTGATGACTCGTCATAATGGTAACTGTCTCTTTGAGGTG